GAGAAAGTAAATTGACGAGCGAGCCAATCTTGCATCTTCCCTGGTGCATGAAAAATAGTATGCCTTGAAAACATTTTAGTTAATACTCCGTAATGAACAAGCTTTTTTTTTTTTTTTTTTTTTTTGACAGCAAAAGAAAAGGGGAGGTTAACCCCTAGAATTTATAAATCTAACAGTAATACAATGAAAAATAGGCATAATCTCATTGATTCTTCTTTTTATCATCCTATCTCCTTGAATGCTTTTGTAATCAGGTTGCATCCATTTTAGGATATTTCGATCAGAGGACTCAATTCCTAGATGCCATAGTTTCAGTCTAATGGCTCCTTGCAGTCCTTCAGAAACAGTTTGTAGAAAATTTGCCTCTTTATTCTGTCTGGCCTGCTGTAACTCCTTTTTCTCTAGTGTATGTTTCACAACCAAATACCAATTCAAATCTCTTCCTTTGCTCCTGTTGCGAAAGATTTCTAAGGTTGCAGCATTGCAGACTCCATTCCCTGCTACTAATTCCAAACTTTTATGGTGGTGACCATCCTGCCCTGTACCCGTCTCCTTTTTCCTTTCAAACCCCGGTGGTTCGAGATGTCTCTCATCAGAGCTTTGCAGAGTCCTCCTGTCCATATCCCCCATATTGTTGTGTGTGTAGCTCACTCTTCGTTCCATGCTTAGGATGACAGATTCTGGACTTGTCACTGAATTTTTAAAATTTTTATTATTCCTTGCTTCCCAGATGCTCTCGAGACCTGCTAAGAAAAATTGATAGCTCACCCCTAAATCCCTGCTCTTATCACTTAGAATTCTCATCCAGTTGAAGATCCATTCTGCTATTGGAATGTTATTTTGATTGCTCACATTAATCCCCAATCTGCAGCCCTTCCAGACATGACTAGCAAAGCTACAGTCTCGAAATAAATGTTCCAAAGTTTCTAGATCACCTCTTCTAGAGTCCGCATCTCTATAGCACAAAATGCAATGGTGATGCACCCCCAATCCTCTCTTCTTCCTTTCACTGCCCACTGAGAGTGCACCTTTCAAAATTTTCCATAGGAAAATCTTTTGTTTGGGGCTACCACCCTTTCTCCAGAACTGCTTCCAGTTGATGTTGTGCTTTACAATTGTTCCTTGTTTCTTGATCTGCCTGTGATTTTCCTCAAGGAAGGTTCTATAGCCACTTTTGACAGAGTATGAACCACCTCTATCTTCCTTCCAAATGATCAAATCATCATAGCCTTCATCCATGGCTTTTATAGTTGATATTTTTTGTATTGAGTCATCACTGAACCATTCTTTGCATACTTCCAGATCCCAATCTCCATTTTTTTTCTTAGTTTGGCAACGTAGTCATTATTTGAACAGCCCTGATACCTCCAAGAAGGGGGAGTACCATAGACCCAGGGATGGTGAATCTTAGCATAGCGACCATCACCTATGGACCAAGCACAACCTTTCTTTAGCATCTGCAGTCCCCATTTGATACCATTCCAACCCCACGAGCCCAAACTTTTCCTACACCACGAGTCTTCAAAAAGAGTGTTTGTCAATGCCATATTTGGCACTGTAAGCTCTGCTGATAAGTGAATCTTTATCATAAATGATGCGCCACCCTTGCTTAGCAAGAAGGGCTTGATTGAAGAAACGCGCATCCAATATGCGTAGACCCCCTTTCTCCTTTTTCTGAGTAAGATGAGACCAATTTTTCCAATGCACGCCCTTTCCATTTTTATTGCCTAGCCACCAAAACCGTGCTACGATGCTGTTAATCCTCTTTAAAATTGAAACAGGGCACTTGAAAGCCGAGAGGACATAGGTTCCTAAATTCGAGAGGACTGATTTTATCAAAGTTAGTCTACCTGCATGAGAAAGGAACGAGTTCCAGGCATTCAGTCTCTCTTTCACCTTGTCCACTATGTATCCGAAGATTTGTTGTTTCGAGACTCCAAACTTCGAAGGTATTCCCAAGTAAACACCAAAATTGTTGCTTCTAATAATACCAAGAATCTCACTGAGCTTCTCTAAATCCTCTTCATTCGAGTTTGGGCTAGCTAGAAAAACGACTTTTCCTTATTAATCACCTGGCCTGAGGCCTTACAGTAAATGTCTAGTACTCTTTTAAGAGTTAAGATATTTTCCTCCTTTCCTTGGAGGAAAAAGGCCGAGTCATTCGCGAAAAAAAGGTGACTAATTTTCGGAGCTTCTCGTGCAATATTAATTCCGATGATATTACCTTTTGCTTCTTCTTCGTGAATTAGCCCTGAGAGGCATTACATGCATAATATAAAGAGGTACGGGGACAAAGGATCCCCTTGCCTCAGCCCACATTTTGGATTGGATTGAATTTTTCCTGAGGTGAACCATTGATGATAACAGAGAAGGACACCGTTCTTACACAACTCATGATAGTTTTGATCATAAGATCTGGTAATCCAAACTTTAGGAGCACATGTGTCTAAAAAAATCCCAATCAATTCTATCATATGCTTTACTCATGTCTGTTTTTATTGCTAATTTCCTCCTCCTCCCTTTTTTTGTTTTCCTGATATTTTCCAACAATTCATGAGCTAAGAGTATATTATCTGAAATTGCTCTCCCTGGAATGAAGGCATTTTGGAATTGACTCACTAACCCATTAATCACTTTCCTTAGTCTATTAGTGATACATTTTGAGATAATTTTGTATACCACAATGCAAAGCCCAATTGGGCGTAATTTGTCCATTGTTTCTGGATTTTCGCATTTTGGAATTAAGGCAATGTTCGTACAATTTAATTCTCGTAGAATGTTACCTGATTTGAGGCTTGATAACACCACCTCTATGATATCATCTTGCATCCAGCTCCAATTTTTTTGGTAAAAGCCGGCAGGCACGCCATCCGGCCCAGGAGCTTTCCATGGCTTCATAGCAAATAACGCATTCCTCACCTCTTTCTTGGTATACGGTTTGGAAAGTAAATCCTTCTGTTAATGAAGTCTTGATACCACTCAGGGCTTTCTCGAGGTCCGAATTTCTGTGCTGTGAGTGTTGCGAGGGGGCAGGTGCCACTGATTGGAGCTCTCTATTCCCCATAATCTCAATTTTAACCTGCTCAATTCTGGGTTGCGGAGTAGCTTGAATCTCTGGTCGTGTTTCGACACTTCTTTGTTCCAATTGATCTTCCTCGTCAATGTCAACCTGTTGTTCTCCCACCCAAGGACTCATCGGATCTTCCGGTATTTGCCCCAACGGAAAGGCATCTCCCTCCTCCTCTCCTTGGTAGTCCATTGGTTCACCAATCGGCGAATCCGGTTCTCTAATTTCGACAGCCCTCAGGTAGCTTTGGCTATCAAATTCTATGAAGAATCTCTGATTGTACCCGACATTGTCCACCCTTCTCCCAGCAATTTCGTCGTTAGCTTCCACTCTCGATTGTATCGCCGTGTTCATTAAGATGTCAAAACGGAGGTTCTCAATCTCCGGGCTGTACCTGGGCACCATCTCTAAGTCCAAAATTCCTGTATTGTTATTCTGGATTGGAGTAGCCGCCGTCGCAGCCCTGAACGGATCTTCTCCGATCCCGCCTCCCTGGTTGTTGTCATTGATGCCGCCACCGACCTGTTCAGCCCCTGTGATTGTTGGGCTTATATGAACCCCACCTTCTGCTTCTACCTCCATTTCCGCAACATCGGAGTGATTATTGCCCTGAGACGAAGCACCATTGATCCCAACCACCGGCCCCCTGAAAGGGGCTCTCCTGCTATTGAATCTGTCACCTAGGTTAACTGTTCTGCCCCCCTCCTGAATTCCTAAATCAAAATCAACCATAATATCCGACGCTCTGAAATTCGGAGAAGGGGTTTGATCAGAGACAATTAGGCTAGCTCTAGTGGTTATGGTTCGTTCGGACGCAGGCGTAGCCCTCATATCCAAGTTAAACATGGAGAATCCCTCCTCTGTTTCGAGAGTTGGGATTCCCCGAGTTAAATAATACATCATTCTGTGATCAATATCTTGTTTAATATGATCTTCATGCCTAGTACACCTAGTATACTTGTGACTAGGGGTGGTTATTGGGCGGGTCGGTGCGGGTCATTAGCGGGGCGGGTCGGTTGCGGGTCATGATGAATATTTAGCGAGTCAGGGTCGGGTCAGGGTCAATGCGGGTCAGGGTCGGGTCAGGGTCGAGGTAAAAGTAAAACGGGCCATTAACGGGCCATTAACTTCTACTAATCTTTAAATAGCATACTAATCTTTAAATGGTATACTAATCTTTAAATAGTATACTTGTGCTCAGACAAAGATATATGCAGGATCAAAGTCTCATAAAAATCTTTCACATCAAAATAAAACCAGAAGTAGAGCCTGTGTAGAGAAAACCAGCACGCCAAAATAAGTTCACCAAGAGTACTAACCCTGTTACATCAATTGTAATATACTAGTTTCTAGATTTACGAAATACTACTAGAATGGTCTAGTTCATTGCCAACATTTTAGCAAATGTTCTCAGATACCACAAAAGAATGAAGCAGCAGTAGGAATGAAACAAGCTCTTTGGCTCTGAGTGCTTCATGAACTCAGAACAGCCTCCAGCAACAGCAGCAGCTACAAAGCACCTCCCAGCCACACCAACACAAGCAACTACAGAACCAAAAAGCCAGCAGCACACAGAAACAAGACCTGCAGCCCCCAGCAGAAAAAAAAAAAAAAAAAACAGAAGTCAGACATAAGTACCACATTTGCTTTCTCGTTCTATAATCATGCTAGTTTAGTCAATTCTTATACTACTATAATCAAATCAAGCAAAACTCCCAAATTATAATTAAATCATCAGCTTAGTCACATTATATTCATTCAAAGTACTACATATATTAGTAGATAATATGGGCTTTGTATGAATATATAGATGGATTAATAGTATACTTTATCAAGCCTTTATTGGTTTGATTTAATTCAAGTATTTTCAAATTGTAGCTAATATAGAAATGAAAACATTCAATGGCACAAGTGCAGAAAATATGTGACATGATTAGCACACAAAATTAAGGGTTATAATCATTCATCCATGAGTTCAGATCAAACACAATTATAATCAAGCAAAAAAAACTCCCAAATTATAATTAAAAACACCAAAATAAATCAGCATTAGCAACACCAAGAACAACAGACTCATAAGTAGCAAAATTACCCACAATCCTTTTATCACTCTCCAAGCTCAAGTAAGAAGCAAAATCACCCAGAAGAAAATCCAATTTGAATTGATTTTCGATCACATCATATAACCTAAACCGGATCTTCAATCAGATATTAAAATTGAATAACAGATTAAGAGAGAGAAAATGATGTTACCTGAGACTCTGAGTGCGCGGCTTCAATGGAGAACTCTGAGTGCGCTTCAATGGAGAACTCTGAGTGCGCTTTAATGGAGAACTATGAAGTTGCGCTTCAATGGAGAACTCTGAAGTTGCGCTTCAATGGAGAACTCTGAGTGCTTTAATGGAAAACTCTGAAGTTGCGCTTCAATGGAGAACTCTGAGTGGCTTCAATGGAGGAGAGAGAAAATGGAGGAGAGAGAAAATGGAAGAGAGGTAGTAACTGACTGCTGACCCTTACAATTATTATTGGGCTCTTTAGTTTAATTATTAAATTATTGGGCTATAAAATAAAACCCTATAAAAACCCTATAAAATAAGACCCTATAAAAGCCCTGTCCATTAAAAAAATAAAGGGTCAAAACCCTTTAGTATTAGGCCCGACCCTTTTGCCATTGGGTAGCCCTACCCAATAACCAGGCCTACTTGTGACCAATTCGACCACAGCGAACACAATATTTAAATAAATTCTCATACCTTAGTTGGATCCAAATCACCGAATCATCATCAAGTTTGAGGAAGAACCCCGGTACGAGTGGCTCTCCAAGGGTGAGTTTGACTTGGATCCGCAAATAGTCGTTCCTTGGCACAAAGTTTGGCTCAAAGTCAACTTCGAAAGGCATGCCAAGCATTTTCCCAACAGTTTTCGCCATGTGTGAATTTAAATATTCACAGGGGAGCCCGCAAATTCTGACCCAAAACTTGGCACGTCTGAACCTAACCGTGTGTGGTACCTGATTTGGCAGCCACGGAGCGAAGACCATTAATGCTCCATCAAAATTCGCTTTCGTCATCTCTAGCATCTCTCTTTTGTCCTCTTCGTTCGAGCACTTGAAGAGATAGAGATCATTCATTTTAAAAACATCAATGTACCCTCTTTTCCTCCACCTTGAATTAACAAAATTTCGAATTGAAGCAGGGCTTAAAGTGCGGTAATCCATAAGATAGCCATACACACACAAACTCCAAAATGCCCTGTTTCCCTGTACTCTACTCGGTTCAATTTCTGCCAGGGCTGCAGCTCTATTAATGTTTCTGTTGACATAAGGAATATTATTCATGTTGAAAAAGATTGATTATGTTGATGAAAGAGTAAGATTTGAAGGGAAGTGAATGCACTGGTTGTGAGGTAAGTTGTGCTTTTAAACTACCACCACAGCAGGGAGGCGTTTCAGCTTCTTGCCTCAATGCTGGCGACAAAACCATGCAGATAAACTTTGGTAAACGCGAATTACTACCGTAATTAATTGGTTGGTTTACTTAACCAAGAAAGATCAAAATTAACTCTGTTAAACTAGAGTAGCCTATTCTGTTAAGAAGGAGAAACTCCATTAAACGAGAAAAGGCGAAAGAGTTAACGGAGGTATCATTTAGGATAACGGAATAAGAAGCTTGGGGAACTGACGTTACTAAGGTAATGATTGTAGGGTGGAAAGCTATTGGCCTTTCTACAAGGCACCAACCAGGCTTGCCACGTGGCGGCACAGGGTAAAGCAAGGCAAAGTAATTACTGTAGGTAATTCTTTCTCCCAGGACAAGTAATGATGGGATTTTGTTTTCCTAGTAAGCTAATTGCCGGACCTCCACCACCAAACCCCTAAAGAGGGTGGAACTCTATTTCTAGAGTGAGAGGCTCTCTATTTCTAGAGAGAGAAATTTTCTGAGATCAAGATCCGTAATGAACAAGCTGATGCACTGGAAGAAAGAAAAATAGAATCATATGCAAGAAAGAAAAATAAAATCATATACAAGGAGAGAAAGCTCTTATAATTACGAAGAATACAATTTCCTTTCTTTTTATATTGGTAATAAAAGGTCTTCTCCAGCCATTTGTCAAAGCCCACAAGGTAACCAGTGTCCACGTGCAGGGTAGGGGTATAGGGGCACTCAGCGCAGTTGAGTCTCTAGGCGCAAGGGCTTAAGATTCTATGTAATAGTGGAGGTAACCATGGTGGAGGTTCTAAAAAACAAGGCACCAAAGGTGGTCTATACAGTACCTCACAGCACTTGTGATTACCTAATTTAACCAGCCTATAAACTCATAGAAGTGTTGTTTTAAAATTGTGATTTTTATAGCTTATGTAGTGTCTAAGTGTCCTACCATATACGAGTGTCGAGGGTCCGACACGGCTATTTGAGGTGAAATGAAGAGTACGAGTAACATAGATTATAATGAGAAGCAAAACGTGAGAGGACAAAATACTACAATATTTACATATCTTTGTTTCAGTAAGAACAAAATACTTAACTGCAGAAACTTTGTATCTTTTGAATGCAGAAACTTCCTTCGAATTGAATATTTACATATCTTTTTAGATTTCCTGCTCAAACAGGAAGCCTTTTAAGAATGAACCAATCAAGTTGTATCCACACACGTGAGAGGATCCCAAAAGATAGTGCATGAAATGCTTGTTTTGCAGCTGTCTGCCGAGCTTCCAATTTAAGGGGATCACTTAGGAGTTCATGGAGGGATTTTATTAGCTCTGCTTCTCCAGAAACCTGCATAAGACAATGAGAGATGAGCGAGCTTTTACAATCGTAGGTTCAAAAGGGTGGACGTCATAATAAGCTTTAAAAAGATTGAGATGTAAAGAGTTCGGAACGTCAAGAAATCAATTTTTCTGAAATTATATAATTGACATCAAAACAAAATAATATCTTGATAACCTAAGCCGATCTATTTTCCCTTGGCAACGTTCAACTCAGATATAATTTTCTTCACATCAGTTAGTGAGCTTCCTAATGAATATATTGAGAAAAGAAAGGAGTCAGGACAGTACTAATGATAGAAGAATGCAATCATGTACTGGAAAGACAAGCTATTTAACCTATGAAATACACAAGATAAAATAAGTATTTTCAAATTTCAATTGCTCTCATTTAACCCGTCTCTACATCAATCATGCTGATATCATTTTTTTTTTCCCTCAATGCATAATTATAGATACTTCATCTGAGATTGAATGGGGCATTATGCATCGGTATAGATTTCTCAATGCATAATTGATCGAGGCAGTGCAGGAATTGTCCTAATGAAGATAGGTCCAATAGCTTAATGCAATTTTAGTAAGATTAAGCTGTATGATAAAAAATGATAGACACAAACAACTAACAGATATTGATTCATTTCATTACTCCTTCCACCCTTCATTGTCCATGAATAAATTGTAAAGGTTTTAGTGGAAAACTCTAATAATTGCATTTAGTGATTGAGGTTGATAAGCATAACAAATATGTAGTAAATAGAATCCAATATAATTCTTCCTTAATCTGCTCTTTGAAAAACAGTGTTTATAAAACCCTTCATTCATGCCATACACCAAACATCTAATAGATATTGATTCATTTCATTACTTCTTCCACCCTTCATTGCTCATGAACAAAATGTAACACTTTATTTGGATAGAAGGAAATGGAAGGAAAAGAAAGGAAGAGAAAGAGAGGGGGACAAACTCTCTTGTTTGGGTAAAGGATTGGGGGAAGGAAGGGAGTGGAGAGGGTAGGATTCTTATCCCTCTCTCTTTAATAAGCATAATCCCTCCAAAATTGCAGAGATTTGGAGGGACAATGGAGCTCACCTCCCCATCCCTTTCTTCTCTCTTCCCTTCCTCTTCTATCCCTCCCCTTCCTTTCCTTCCTTGTTTTCTATCCAAACAAAGCGTAAATGTTTTGTGGAAAACTCTATAATTGGATATAGTGGTTGAGGTTGATAAGCATAGTCAACTTGTGGAATCCCAAATTATGCTTCCTTGTTCTGCTCTTTGAAAAACAGTGTGTATATAAAAGTCTACATTTACGCAATAGACCTGACTGGATTTTTAAAGACAATGTAGCCCTGACTGGATACATTAGGAAATAAAACACACTTCCAATGTCTGCAATTTTTCTCTGTTTCTCCCAAAGCTATGTCCGTCACTAAAACCTGTATAATTGAAGGGGTAACCCATTTCTGTACACATTCCAGTTACTTTTTACTTCCTCTGCCCCTTTTATTTGCTCCATTGGGGCGAAGTTAATTTTAAATTTTTGGCTCGGAGGAGTTGATGACAGAGAGATGTGGCGGGTCAAAATGTAGTGGGTTGTAGTATGGGCAAACTCAACGGGATAAACAATACGGTACACAGGGAGTATAAATCAGTATAAATCTTCCTAATCCATTGATCTTTATCATTTGAGAGACTTAAAGTAACCAATTAATAGACAAAAAACCAACAATCATAAGGCTGAATAAATAACAAAAAAATTAAGCTCATCCAATGAAAAGCTACAAATAAGATTATTCTGTTTTTCGGGGATAACCAGTCACATGAAGTCAATATCTGACCTCAATTAGCTTCTCTTAGATCTAATTGGAGAATTAACACTGTAACACAGTGATACAAAGTATGTTGCACACACCTTAAATGATCATAAATTCTAGCCATCAGCCAATAAACATAAATTTTTCAAGAGACACAGAGCAACTAACAAGTTTGTTACACACACCTGTAGAATGGACAGAGGATTGAAGCTCTGCATTGCTGATACCATGTGTGAGAAGTGACCAACATGAGGACCTGGATTTAGAATACAAATGCTTTAATCACAGAAATAAGAGTTCTTTTTTTCAAGTAATGAAATTAATTACTTATTATAGTTAGAAGGTATCCCACATTACACTGACACTGTTATGGCCCAGATACTCGGATAGCTTCTGGACTTTTAAGCTTCTCTGATGTAGCTAAAAGTCTAAAACAACTGTCTATGTCCCAAAAACCTTGTTTGTCAAGAATTTGACGCATAATCTGGTGAATCATGAGTCACATATTCCGACTCAAACAATATTTTTTTGCGAAATAAAGTATACTAATCAAATTATTTTGCAATTTGTGAAAACATGTCATGACACTATAGGGTAACCAACAGCAGAATCAACCTGTGATAACTGCAGATCCAGCTGCCATGGCTTCTGCAATATTATGACCAGATGAAGTTGGTAAGAAAGACCCCCCAATAACCGAAATGGGCATCAACCTATAAAGCTCTCTTAGTTCACCTGCAAAATCAATCATTTCGAAAACAAATATAAATTTACTGACAGAGTGACACCCCTCTAGTCTCAGCTGTAAGCAAATAAACTTTTCCTTTTTATGAGAACATATTGGACTACATCAACAAGCTTTGGAAGGTAATTTCAACAGTGAAATGGTCAACATCATGGTCGTAATCACAAAAGGACATGCAAAAACTGCAAGCTATGGAGAAAGTGTCTATACCCTCCGTTTTTAAAAGTGTTCTACTTTCAAAATGCGGCCGTTTTTTTTCAAGTGTAACAGTTCCTCTTTTTTTTGGCAAACTCCTACCTTATAATACTATCTCTCTCTTCTCTCATGGTCCCCAAACATACCTACAACTACTAATTTTTTTTCACTCCTCACATCCCTTACTTTTAAATAAACTATTACCTTCACTATTTATTCTTATAGCTTTTTAGTACCCCAATGTAATGAACGACCTAGGGGAGAGGCATTAGTATAATAAGGGAAAATATGCAATGAAATAAGAGAGGCCACTTGTGCACATGAAGCAAAAGCTCAGTCTAAAATTATCCAAGGGTTTGAACCATGTAGAGAGAGAGAGAGAGAGAGAGAGAGAGAGAGAGAGAGAGAGAGATAGAAAGAGGGGTAAGGAATAGGCAAGCCAATTATGAGCTACCTCCTAGGAGAGTTTTGACCTCAAGTGACTTTTTGGGGAGTGGTAGCCTTAAGCTACCGTTGTAAGAAACCTTTTGGCTTAAGCTTAATTTAAGACTCAATCTTTCCTTCCTAACTCTTCTTATTTTCTTTGTTAGATCTTGATTATGAGCTTGAATCCATTACACCCAACTACCCACTTAGATCTTATTATATTAGGATAAATTAAACTACCTAAAACTATGTGACAGTCAAAGTGTAACACTTTTAAGAAAAGAAGTATTTGTTACATCTTTCAAACCCTTATTAAATTGCTTATGCTCTGCTCTTAGAATTATTAATCTTTACCAAGCATGGGTATCATTCTCCTCAGTGTAAGAATGAACCAATCAATGAAATCAAGTATAACTTTTCCATAATATAAAACAAACCTGTAAAGTGATGAGGGAACTAGGGAATCTTGAAAGTTCAATGAAGATTGACAAATATTCCTTTGCTTCTATTTTACCGTGATTTCATTATTTCAAACAAAGAAAAATGTTTGACAAAAATTTAGCTTATGGGAAGCAAAGTTTGGGGATTTTAGGTTTAGAACAAAAATAAGCAAGAAGTTGCTTCACTTATTCAAAAAAGGAGATCAAAATCACCCAGAAGCAAAATGTTTAAGTGTAAGACAACCTTACGATGAACATGATCACAACTCACCAGCAAAGATGTTCGAGTAGAATCCAGTGATTCTCAAATAAAAGTTACCATTTACAATTTTTGTTATTTGTAAGGACAAATAAAGGAAGTGAATCATCTCAACTATGGGACAATCCCACTCATTCCCATCCCAACCGTAAGTCATAAAAATTTTACACTCACCATAAAGGAAAATGTCCAATACTATCATAGTCAAGGAACTTGAGTGGAAGAACAAAAGAAGTAAGTCATGCACGTGTGCAATGTTTATGGTTTTGCCGGTGTTACATTAGCTCTAATTTGTAGGTGCAAAACTGATCTAGGAATTCAACAATCAAGATAGACTAATAGAGGAATAATTAGCAGATTTTAACCATTAAATATTAAGTATGCTTTGTACAAAAAGAATTAAAGCTAGATTCAGCAGGCTACATTTCCATTTACGAGAAAGAGGGAAATGGTATAATAGCACGACTAGGAGGTTGCATTTCTATTTATGTAGAAGATGGGAAATGGTATTATACTATGGGTAAAGTGCAACGGATCAACCTAGGCCCTAATTCAATCAAAAAAGGTTGTAGAAAAGAAGCTTGAGAGGATGTTGCTATTGTTTCCCAAGGGGCATCTTATAGCAACACTGAGATCAGACCCATTTAATAAGCATGGAGGAGATGTGATCTTAGGTGATTTTGAAATGTGGCACAGTGAGACCAATGGAGGATCAAACAAATTTATATTAAATAGTTTTTTCAATTCCTCTTGTAAATTTGTGTGCTTTATGTTCTTTAGATACAATTTTACTAACTCTGTTTCATATTATGTGTAACAAATGAGCTTGCACGGACTCCTAGTAGGTGTTGATAATGATACATATGATGAGGAGAAAGATAGAGAGAAATGACAACTTAAAAAGGAAAGAAAACATTTGTTTTACACAATGTGTAACAACCACTTTTTGTAAATGTTGCACATAATATAAAACAGACGTAGTATATGTTTTTATGTTTGCATGATTGTACATTGCCCAATGCATATAGAAGTAACTAGCTTGCTACTTGTTGCCATAAATCTTGATGTCTTTTCAATTCCCCCTTACGAGTGGGTGATAGATTAAAGGTCACGGACCTCATTATTACACTTTAAGGGGAAGACTTCTATGTAGGTTGAACACTTAATGGATTGAGAAAGACTTAATTAACATAAGATAGTTGTACCATGCTCTCAACTACTACAGTAGGCAAACATGGTTTTGAACTCTTGATCTCAAGTTTAAGCATTAGAACCTTAACCATTGAGCTATATCATAATATATGTCTTTTATTGCAAACAAAATAAATATATGACAACATAATAAGCATAAATCAATAAAAGTAGGATTGAATCATAAATTTCATGCACAATTATTGTAACACATGCAAGTTTATTCATGATTTCATGGTAATTAAATAAGGAGTAAGGACAACATATTGAAGCCTTTTAAGAATAAGGGTAGTGGAGGCAAACACCCTAAACTAGGGATGTCCCCGGCGGGGCGGGGATGGGTCTCGGTTTAGCGGGTGGTGGGGCGGGGATGGGGATGAAAACCATACCCGCCATGGGTGATGGGGCGGGGGTGGATTTTAGGTTGTACCCGCCCCACTTCGTACCCGCCCCATCCCTACCTTGTACCCACATCTATAGATCTTTTAAAACAAAATTATATACTTTTATACTATTTTATAAAATATTTATGTAAAATAAAATATTAATTAATAATACTTTGTAATACACTTATATTAATATACAAAAAAATGTGTAATATTAAGAATGAATTTTTTTTTTTAATATAATCTATATTAATTATGTAGGATGTGTATTTGAAAGGTGGAGATTAGGTGGGTCTTGGGTGGGGATTAGGTAGGTCTTGGGTGGGGATTAGGCAGGTCTTTGGCAGGGATTAGGTGGGGGTGGATAGGGGTGGATATCTAAGTGGGGGATGGAATGGGGATGGTTTTGAAATTGTACCCGCCGGGGCGGGGATGGGGATGGGGATGAAATTAAGACCCGCCGCGGGGATGGGGATGGGGATGTGAATGCTAACATCTGCCCCACCCCGCTCCATTGAAATCCTTACCCTAATAAGCCAGAAAGTTCCAACAAAAGTTGGTTTTATATCCTTTGGAGTTAGAGGCCATCTAATACTGTGGGTGAAGTGCAACAAATCAACCTAAGCACCTAATTCACTTATGCAAAGAGGAGACTCAAGGATAAAAAAAAGGAATCTAACTCACAATCAGAGTTAGTTATGATAATGTGATCAGCAGAAACAAAGGGAATCTACATCATAATCAGTGTTAATTATGATAATGTTATCAGGGATATCATTGGAGCTAGAGTGAGATTTCAAAAGTTGAGAGTATGGAGGTATGTGTGGGAAATGAAATAAAAGTATAGCATAATTTAGTGATAAGTCATTGGAAATTTTTGTAGAGAAAAGTAGCTTGGAAGAGAATCCACCTCTCAAATGTGGATTGTTGTATTTCAATTAATTACTCTAATGAATTGAATATCATTTTCCTTTATTCAATAAATTCAACACAAGAAATTTACAAACACTCAAATCACCTATAAATGACCTGATTTAGGTGATTCCAACAAAAAAGTTCGATGATTGCATGTATTCAAGTATAGCTGTACAGGACATATGTGATTATGTGGATGATAGTGGCTTGACAACCCTTGGAAAAACTGAAAAACTTTAAATTTAAGTACTACTTTTTTTTTTTTTTGTAAGTGATTTACATGATAGACTATGACTTTCCAAATTTGCTCCACACCGAATGCATAATTCCCTTCATTGTCTATAACTAAGGTTTACAGGATCCAGTTGGCTAGTGAAGATGCATCAAAAGTCTTAACAAAAAATGTATTAATGTGATTTTTTCGTTTGAAGTTGAGAGCAGAGTTGGGGGGGGGGGGGGAGGGACTGAGGACTGCAAATGTAACTTCTAGGGTAAGTTTGAAGCACTATCACTTTGACAAAACTAGCAGGAAAAGCGAGAGCAAGTGTTCACCTAATGTATTAGCCACATAAATATTTGTTGCTGATGTAAGTTTACCACCATCAGACCTCAAAGCTATTGTTAAACCTAATTTCTTTGATGCCTGCACATGATTGAAGCAACGGTATATTATTAGATAAAAGATGTAGATACACTTCAGAAGGATAATCAACTCCGCAAATATCGATCAAAATTTGAAACCTTGTATAGGTATGCAATTTGAGAAAGCAAAGGATTGAATCAGTCAAACTATAAAAATACTAAGCTCAAGAATTAAACCTTTATATTTAAAACCAACAAAATGTTAATCAGTCTAAATAGGTGATGGATGCAATTCAAAGATTACAATAGGTGATGGATGCAATTCAAAATTGACAACAGACATAAGAAAAATTTTCATTCTCAACCATGATAATGCTGGATGAAAAGTCAATGATGTTTGATCCCCAATAAAGCTTATGTTAATCCGTTTTTTGGCGGGACAATAAGTAGTGGAGTAGTGCATTATAAAATGGAAATTTTGTCAAAAAAACACCCATCAAAAACACTTTTTTGTGAAAAACACCCACAATAAAAAAATGTTGTAAAACACCATCCAAATTAAAAAATGTTGCAAAAAGCCACCCACTGCCGAAAACAAGTCGTTGACCATCCTCCCCCGGCGTTGACCACACTCCACACCCCTAGAAAACCCCTAGAATTCACCCAAAAAGTATGGCCGCCCTTCCCCCTCCCCCTCCCCCTCGAAAACCCCTAACATTCACTCCCCCTCGAAAACCCCTAACATTCACTCCCCCTTGAAAACCCCTAATATTCACTCCCCCCTCCACTTCGAAAATCACTCCGACCACATTTACCGGTGGTGGTCTAGGGTTTTTCATTGTTTTCAAGTGAATTTTAGGGGTTTATGAGGGGGAGGGGGGAAGGGCGGTCGGATGTTTTTCGGTGAGCTAGGGGTTTTTAAGGGGATGGGGCGGGTGGTCAACGCCATGGTAGGGCGGTCAACGTCGGCAAATATGGTCCGCAACCTGTTTCTGGCAGTGGGTGGCTTTTTACAACATTTTTTTTAGTTTGGGTGGTTTTTTGCAATATTTTTTTTTTATTGTGGGTGGTTTTTCACAAAAATGTGTTTTAAGTAGGTGGTTTTTGACAAAATTTTCCTTATAAAATATAGAATTAGATTTATATAAGAAAATAATATTTACATAATGCAATGTTTCAAGTGTCTTATATTATCCATGTGAAAATTACAAGAGTTGGGCACTTCTTGAAATTCATGGTCCAATCGAAGTGGTCACATAAAACAACCACAAGTAATAGGAGGATAGAGAATTACAGATAGATAAATACTCCACCTTGGAAAAGTCTAACCCATGATGTGGATGTCGAGGCACGATAACAGTTAACAATTTTGGGTGGCTTTTGACCAGTGTTTTATGAACTCGAAGCATTACTGAAAACAAAAAGTCACAAGACTTAACACAAACAATTATGATAAAAGACATTTTTGGAGAAATATAATTCAAATGCATGTAGAAAGTAGTTAAGGAAATTTAAATATAAGTAAACCAACAAAAAAACTCACTAAAAAGAGTATTGATTTTAACTTTCAAGTTCAACTCATGTTTGAATCAATTTCCCATGCAATTCCTCCAAGGCTAATTAACCAATTTCAATACATATTTGTTGCAACTCACAACCCGTTTTTATAACTATCTTTATTGCTGCTTATTCCTAAATCTAAAGTGAGGAATTTTACATGTGAGTTTTTAATAAAAAATATATTAGGATTGTCTAGTTTAAGTTTTGCGGTGTCTTAACTAATTATAGGGCTACATTAATTCATTAGTTAATTAACTAATTTAGATTTATGTTCCCTACATTCTTTGTATATTGTTTAATGTTAGCAATTACAGATAAAATTAGATTGTTGAGCTTTTGGTTGAAGAGAACTTTGTTAAGGTTTGAATTAGTTGTTAACTAGGGTTTTCGGATCATTGCTTTTAAGGTCAAACTTAAAGGTCATTGCCTTTTAAGAATATCCTTCGATTTTACACTGGTAATACCACTTAAATCTTTTTATAAATTTAAGGGTCATGAAGATCTACCACAAAATTGTTCGTTAGGAGTATGTTTTAGCTCAACAATATAATGTTTAAGACTACATAAATTTATAATTTTTTATCCTTACATTTTTTTCACAAAATATATATGAGTTGCTCCAGATTTAGAGATATGAAATTAAAGACATAAATTAATATACATTTTTAATAACTTTTGTCTCATGTTTGTTAGAACAAAAACATACTAATTAATTATTCTCATGGTGAATGTATACATTAAATGGACATGGATGCAAGTAATCGATACAAACAATGTTTGCAACATAAAAATGCGAGTCATTAGATGGATTAAATGCACTGCAAATAGTACTGTCAAATCGGTTTGACAATTCGGTTTCGGTTCGGTTTGAAATCGGGTCGGTTTGAAATTGGGTTAGTTTGAAATCGGTTCAAGTTTCTTACAGTCGGTTTCAGTTCGGTTTAATTAATTATCAGTTTGATTCGGTTCCAGTTTATTCTTGAGTGGTTTTAATTCGGTTTGGGTTGTAAACGGTTCAGATAGTAAACGGTTCGGTGCAGACTGGTTGCGGATTGTTAACGGTTCGTTGCAGACTGGTTTTATATCGGTTCAAAGAGTCTGGGTTGGAAACGGTTTGGAGTTAAAAACAGTTCGGTTCTTTTTTCAGTTCAGTTTTATTTTAGTTCGGGTTATAACTGGTTCGGTTTGTTAGCAGGTTCAGATCTTATACGGTTAAACGTTATTCGGATCAGTTCCATTTCGTGTTTTTAAATTATGGTTCGGAACAATTTTTAATTTCAAAAGGTCGGTTTTTCATCGGGTCGTTTTGATTTGGGCAGTTAAACGATTTTGGTTTGAAATTTGATAGCTCTTACTAACCTTTTACTGGTTAACAAGTCTTTTATTAAGCTAATACTTCATCACTTCATATTTAGGCATCATATTACATACAAATTCTCATTGATTTTATAAATACATATCATGTTATTTTCAAGTTTAGTCATACTCATCTTACTAGTTTATTACCAAGTAGATTATAAAAGTTTAGTGTATTGATGTATTATTATTGTTTTACTATCAGTTTATTAGTTGCTTCTTATTTAATCATCCAATTGATATGTCATAATCATGATTTGAAGAGTTCTTGAGACATCGAAATTACAGTTTGATTTATAGACGGTATGGTTTTTAAGTGGTTCGATTTATAAACGATTCAGTGCAAACAGGTTGCAGTTTGTTAACGATTTAATGTAAAATGTTTTACCTCGATTCAAACGGTTTGGGTTGGAAACGTTTTCGGGTTAGAAACGGTTCGGTTCTTTTTTGATTCGGTTTGAATTCAGTTCAGTTTAGCACTGGTTCGGTTTCTTAATAGGTTCAGTTCTTATGCAGTTTGACATTATTCAAATCGGCTCGGTTTCGGGTTTACTTAAATACGGTTCGGGTCGGATTTCGATTTTTAAAAAATGTTTCTAATCGGTTCTGTTCTCATTTGGGTCGGTTGGTTTCGTTAGTTAAACGGTTTCGGTTTGAAATTTGACAGCACAAACTGCAAACCATCATGATCCTATATTCAAGCCTACATGTTGGGGACATTAATGAATTCATTTGCAATGAAATCCCCACTAAGAATGGATCATGTAGGCATGTTTAATTGATGAAAAATATTTTAAACAATTCCCAAAAAAAACTTTCTAACAGAACTACTTTTGATGATATTGACTGTATAGTATAATCGTACACAAAATATGGATTCCAAATATGGATTCCATCAATGCGGTAGATAATAGTTTGGTGGTTACATAATTTAAAGACATGTGTTATATATAACCCACACATAATATTGTGAGAGTTACTGTAAATATGTGGAGAAGTAATTGTACAAGTATGTCACTACAGGACATGATCATGTAACTTTTACATGGAAGAAGACAATTCAACCACACGACATGATTAAGAGGTACAAATCGTACAATAACTAAGGATATATGTTTCATCCATCAGAGAATGTTAGAGAATATTTGAGTTTGGCTTGTAGCATCAATATCATTCATTTGAATTATATTGAACATGGGCGGTGTGACCAGCCACATGGCTTGAAAAATTAGGAACCCCCGGTAAAGGCAGTGTACAATGAAGCGGAAATCCCAGGATCGATTCTTGGGATTCCTTTTAATTTTTGTTTCTATTTTTTTTGCCGTAAAACTATCCTATTTTATTGTCTTTTTCCGAAATATTTTAGCATATTCTAAACCATTCAATAACCACTTTTACTAACTTATTTTCTTTCTCAGAAGTAAGACACAAAATTTAAATAATTAAAATTACTTCGTCTACAACACAAAATAAGAAGCTCATATTATAATTATAAATTACTTTTATATTCCTTCTGTTTTCCCAAGTTCTACTCACTTCTATTAAAAAAAAAAAAATTCTACTCAATTTTACTTAATTCCTTTTATGACAACCTTTTATTCATTTTTTATCCATTAAAACTCCACTTTTTAGGGGCCTATTATTTTAAACAAATCCCCTACTCTCTATCTCTCCTCTCTTTAAAAGCAAAAGTAGTCACATGCAAGATCTACCATTTCCACTTTCCTAACTCATTAAACGGAGGGAGTACTATCTTTATAATATTCAAACCATATTCTCCATGTTAGATTGATTCATGTTAGATTTCAGGATGGATTCATGTTAGATTGACATGTGGTTATATTCTCAATTAGCTTGGGGTTGTGCTAGCCAATAAAGTATATACTACCTCCGTTTTATATTTTTTGCAATTTTGGAATATTTCATATCTCACAAATATTACCCCAAAGTTGCAAAAAATATGAAACGGAGGTAGTATTTTTTTTTTTTTTTTTTTTATAGACAGTGATAAATTAATTTAAAGGGAATTTTAGAAAATAAAAATATTGGATTCTTACATAACATTTTTTTTTAGTTTAAATTAAATCACCTCCTATAATTACTAACTTTTTAAGCTAATTGTTTTTTGTTACTTGCCCACTATAAAAACGTTCATTTCATCCCCATGCTTCTCAACCAATTTAGTATTAATGGATGCCTAAGTTTTAGGAGCACTAGCCATTGGTTGGGGGGATTGGGTTGGACTTTAGTTCATTCCAAATGATTCAAACTTTAAAGTCATTCCAAAAGGTGGAATAATATCACAAATACAATGAATATGAGATGAAGTGAAAATTCTGACCAACCTTCATGTTCACCTTTATGTACTGAAGAAGCCATCCAAACCTCCCTATGATTAAGTTGTGCCAAAAACTGTTCAACGCCTTTCAAAGCATTAGTTGAAGTTGTGATTTCTCCAACACCTAACAAATGCACAATCAACACTAATAAAGCCTTAAAATAGCCCCCTTTTATCTATTACAAATTATAATATTTATTCCATTCTAGTCAGAAGCACATGCTGAAATAAATCGTCATTTTTATTCGTCACATAAAAGGAAAATAACCACTCCTTCAACACCTAACAAATGCACAATCAACACTAATAAAGCTTAAAATAGCCCCCTTTTATCTATTACAAATTATAATATTTATTCCATTCTAGTCAGAAGCACATGATGAAATAAATCGTCATTTTTATTCGTCACATAAAAGGAAATAACCACTCCTGTCCCATATTTAAGTGCCCGCTTCATATAATTCTGCTACTTTCTTTATATTGCAAAATTATTGTGGTAACCCCCCCCCCCCCCAATCCCACATCCCACCCAACAGGTTTGGGGCCAACAGGAAGCAAACAGGAAGGGGAAAAAAAAAAAGACAAACACAAACACTCACGAGTTACGACTAGGTAAATTAATTTGGAAGCTTCCAATATACCTCTTGAGCAGTGGCACACAAAAGGATGCTAAAGAAAAATTACAAGACTTGCATATATATATATATATATATCAACACAGATAATTTACCTTAAGACAAATAATCCAGTAAATCAAGGCAGGAGTATTCTTACAATATTTCAAGTCAGCCGATATGTTGACTATAAAAGGTGGTGCTTGCAGTAGCTGAAAGCGAATTGCCTCCGCCGTGCTCTGTGAACAAAGTTAAACTTGAGAGATAAAATGAGAGCAGGAAGTTGTTTTTAAACATAAAGTTTGATGGTATACCAATGGCATGATCAAGGAAAACTTCGACAGCATCAAGGCAATTAGCGGAAGAACTGCGGGTGCAGACCAATGTTTGAAAGATCTTTCAGACATTCGAGCATTTAGCAAAACTAATGCCATCTGGTAAGAAAAAAAAAAAAAAATAATAAATTGAAATTTCAATGACATCATCATGTAAACACCAGATAATGATCAACTAAGATACCATATGTGGGCAATTAAATTTGTTTCCCAATTGTGTTTAATCTTTGTTTTTTTGCAAATGAACACAAGCAGAAACTATACCCCCATCTCTCCTCTCCTTTCCCATGGACAGGGACCAGTAGAACTATCACATAGAATTACTACATATTAACACTAAAACCCTTGATATATGAAATTACTTTAAAGTTTCGTGCAGGCCAATGCGTAACGTTAATCAAGGAGATGAACTTGGATTTACTCTATGAAAAACATGCAAGAAAAATAAAAATGTGAAAACTAGCATACAATATACTACAAATAGCCCTAAAAAAATTGTAAATCTAAAGCAAATTGCCAACCAATGATTATGAACAAACTTTCCAAATAACAATGAACTAACCTTACTTTTAGATGCAACCATTACAACATTTGGCCACAGTTCACTTTCCATGATTATAACAACATTTGGCTTCCAATAGCCAAGAAAAGCTTCCACAACAGCAGGTAAATCTAATGGAGCAAACTGGTATAAGGAGTAGGCATTGATTAACAAAGATGAATTATGATATTCGTCTCTGGACTTCTAGAAAGTAAACTAAAGATGGAAAAAAACAAACAATTACTTAATATAAAAATTGACCAAGAATATTAAAAGGATTGCAATATACTGATTAATTATGTTGATAATAAAAACAAGGCTAAAAAAAAGTTCTTCATTCTCTTTTAGTTGCAATAGTTTGACTTGTACACGACATTTCATAATTTCAGCCATTGATATCTCTAATTAGGGGTGTCCGTTTGGTTTTTGGTTTGGATTTAGTCCAAATCCGATCCAATCCGAAATATAATTCGGTTTTCAATTTTCCAATCCGATCCGATCCGAATTTTTCTCTTGATCCAATCCGAATTAAAATTCGGTTATTTGGATCCGATCCGAAAATCCGAATAATAATACATTATTTTTTTAGCGCCTAATACAATTATAAAAATAAAGCTTTACTATAAATAAAAGTCTTCAAAATCATGATTAAAATACACAGTTCAACGTTAAGTCATTAATTAATTAATACAAAGTCTCTCTAATTTATTTTATGTAGTATTATGTATTTGAGCTAAACTTCAAAATATACAAAATATACAAGCTTAATTTTACAATTCGGTTTTTGGTTTGGATTGGATCCAATTAGGGTCAATCCGATCCAATCCGAAAATCCGAATTTCCAAAAAATCTCAATCCGATCCGATCCGATTTAAAGTTCGGATCCGATCCGAATTGATAATTCGGTTTGGATTGGATTGGATTTCGGTTTTTATCCGAATTATGGACACCCCTATCTCTAATTACAAATAAGTAAAACATATAAAAATTTGATATTGTAAAAATATAAAAGACAAATATAATAAGAGCCCACGTGACTATAATTTACCCAAATAGTAAATCGTGAATTGTACTATTTTTCAAAGGAAAATTTGTCAAAACAACTATTTAAAGCACCATTTTTCGCAAAATAAAACAAATTAAAAGGTTTATTGTAAAAGAAAACCCGATTGTGAATTTTTTATTTTATTTTTGCTGAAGACAAACTAGTACTTTTAATAATACTCTATTAACCTCTAATTTATTCTAATTACCCTCTAACCCTCACTTAACCATTTAATTAAATTAATTTATAATTAATAAAAAAAAAAACTACATCTCCCTCTCTTAACAGCAACCTCCCTCCCCATGGTGCCGCCTAGAATCCCCAACCCCAGCGACCCCCTTCCCTTTCTTACAAACAACCCATGACCCGCCTATGTATCCTAGTACTTCTAATAATACTCAATTAACCTCTAATTTATTCTAATTACCCTCTAACCCTCACTTATCCATTTAATTAAATTAATTTATAATTAATAATAATAAAAAAAAAAAACCACCACCCCCTCTCTTTCCTCCTCTCTTAACAGCAACCTCCCTACCCCAAAGTGCCGCCTAACCCTCAATCCCCAACCCTCTTCCCTTTCTTACAAACGACCCATGCCCGCCTATGTATCCTAGGTAAGTGGGAAGAGGCGTAATTATGTAACCTTGGTAAGAGATAAGTCTAGAGGCCGGGTAAAACGGCAAAATTTTTTGTTTTTTTTTTTTAAAAAAAAAATACTACTGTTAGAGCTCTCGCAACGGAAATGTGGCTTCTACTAGATAATATGAAACCGATAGCTCACAAAGACAAATAATATTTTGGGATAGACAAATAACCATTATTAAGGAAATAATAAATATAAGAAAATAAACTTTCTTAATGCTAATAAACTTTTGACGTGAATAATGATTGAATTATAATACATGCATACTAAGAGCATCTCCTAAGGTGTTTTCAAGGACTTGCTTGCAAATTTGAAAAATAATATACAAGTGTTGCTTAACCATTGGAGCACTATTGAAATACTTGTTCTCTTGAGTACACTGCTTGGAAATTTTAAACATTTATAAATTAAATTATAAAAATCATTTTTTATCTTTTCTATAAAATAAATATTAAAATATTATTTTCATTATTATCAACTGACATATAAGTAGGTGATATTGACTATTTTTTTTAATTGACTATAGTTTACAAGATTATTTATTTTGAATAGTAGTTTACAAGATTATAGGTTTACACATTACATGTTTGTAATGTATGTTGTATGTTTCACTTTTCATTGATTTTTTTTTTTTTTTTTTTTTTTTTGTTAGATTTAAAATTTTTGACTACTTTATATAATAACAAACTTGACTTTGTCAACATAAGATTCTAAAATTGCTTCAAAAAAAAAAAAAAAAAAAAAAAAAAAAAAAAAAAAAAACCATAAGATTCTAAAATTTTAGCCAACGTACAATATTTGGTAACCATATTTAGCTTTGAATTATTAGCTAATGCATCTATAAATAAGTTTTTAAAACTTAAGAATACAATCAGTATATTGTTTCATAAAAACATAATCTTAAAATACTTTCATATTTACGATTAGTTCCCCGTAAATTTAGATGGATGATACGGATAATCCATTTAGACAATATTTTGGTTTGGGAAATTCATCAAACAGCCACCTCCGAAAATTCCTACCCTCAAACACATTACCACCTTGGCTATTATTATCCCAATACTACAATGCCTAATTTGCAAGACGTCATGTCAAGCTACTATCCTCAACCTCCATTTTCAAGTGAATCTAATGTGATTCATGATGCTACAAGAAGAGAAAGTGTAGGGGCCTCTAGCATGCACCAAGAATCATCACTCCAAAGGTCTCAAATGGAATCTAACACTCCTTAAAGTGATTATATACAAGAGGTAAATGCACAAGCTACTAGTAAGTCGTCAGATAAGCTTTCGTGGACCTAATACATGGATGAAGATTTATGTAATAGTTGGTTACAACCGATTCAATCAAAGGCACCAGTCAAAGTAAGGCGGATTACTGGAAAAAACTTGTAGAGTATTATAACAAGTGGAGAAGGGAAGGTCCTCCAATAACCATTGAGCAAGCCAAGTGGCAATGACGATGACCGCAAATGGTTAGTAATGCCCAAAAACCTTTTACTAGCAAAAGTGAAAACAAGAAGAAAAAAAAATACTTATTTACATTCCTGAAAAATTCTTCGAAATGCCCTAAAGTGGAAGGATTATGTTTCTACACAAAGTAGTTCTACAAAAAGAACAAAGATTTATATTCCTACCGATAACACTACCTCTTCCTCAAATCCTAATACTAGTGAAATTGATAACGTGGAAATGGGAGATAAACGACCAATGGGACAAAAAGCAACGAAAGCAGTTGCGAGGAATAAAAGTAAAGTATAAGGCAAAACAGCTCATCTTGAGCGAGAAATGGGGTAATTATCAAGAAATGCAGTAAAAAGACTTTCATTCAACAACAAGATTTCGTGATACTTTGCAAGGACACATCTAATATGGACGAAAAAGCTAAAATAAATCATGAGCAAGTTTGTGAAATCATTAAGGCCAAGTATGGAATGTCATAATCACAAATCAAATAAATATGATGACTATTAAGTCAAGTAATTTAAGTTATTGTTTTTATTAGAGGGGAGTAATTTAGGTGTTATTATGTTGAACTCAATAAACAAAACTTTTCCTTTTATTATGCAATGTTTAATTTATTATTAATGTTATGTATTAAGTTTCGTAGCATTCTTAACCTCTTTGTTATTTTTCTATCATTAGTTGTTAAAGCTTTGTTTTTAATTTGCTACTTTCTGTTTTACCTTCAATATTTCATTTCAAAAAAACGAGTAAACTTTTGTATATATATAAATGAACCAACACCACTCGTGGCTAAACAATGAAAAGCACAAAAATTTGGAGAAAGAAATTGAATGGTTCATCATATCATCATTAGAAGAGTTAAGTATCAAACTTGGCATAAAGCTAAAATTGTGATAGGAGGGAATATAGAACTAACTTTGACTTATCATTTATATGCATTTTTACAAAAGTTAATTATATGTATACAAAAACTTGATTGAATACAAAACTTTATAACTATAACTATATATATATATATACAACACGAGTATATCTTTTACATTATTTATAATATTTTTACGAGAGTATGCTATATGTATACAATGACACCTTTTTCGGTTGACACATTTATGTTTTTATGAGAGCATTATATATGTATACAACAATTTTATTTTTTATTTATTTTTTATTTTTTTTTATTTTTTTTTTATTTTTTTTGTGAAGATGTATACAGCAACTTTAATTATTGCTCAACTAACTTTTGTTATTATAAATCATGCACGATAAATCTAAGTCATCAAGTAAAAATGATCGGGATAGTACTTAATTATTCTAGCTCATCCAATCCAAAGTAGAGTACATGGTCTTTAATTATTTCGTATAATTTTTAAGAAATATACATTTCATGTGTTAGTTATGCAAAAGAAATTATCGGGTCATAGAACACTATGTTTAGAGAACGAATTTACGTAGTACTAATTCCTCCCAACCCTTTTGTCTCCTGGATTTGTGGAGCTGAATTAGCACTAACATTTGAAGGAAATTAACTAACATAAAATGTATCTAAACAATAGTAAGTAGCATATATACTTGTATTAACGTGTATGTTATCAAGTTTATATTTTCTTGCATTTAATTTCATCATGTAAAACTTCATTCTATCCTTTATTACTCCACTAATATTTACATATTCTACCAAATCAAAATGTTTAAAAGTCCTAATTTTACAAGGTAATAACTTTGTTTGGGATAAATTTTGGGAAGAGCACTTATTTGATGAATCACATGAAGAAATCGGGCGATACAAAGATTAATTTTCTGAATAGTCCGGAACATTTTTTTCGAAGACATTTTCGTATGAGGAGAGAGGTCTTCAATCGAATAGTGGAGGCCTTAAAAAATCATACTAAATATTTTCCACAAAGATTTGATGCTGCAAAAAGAATGGGTTTGTCCCCTCTTCAAAAATGCACTGCTGCTATCCGCATATTAGCTTATGGAACTTGAC